CTACACAACTTTAGTTTGAACTGTACAGTTAAAACTGTGCAGTTAAAATCGAATATTTAAATGATAATCCAAATTTTGTCTACACAACTTTAGTTTGAACTGTACAGTTAAAACTGTGCAGTTAAAATCGTATATTTAAATGACAATTCAAATGTTGTCTACACAACTTTAGTTTGAACTGTACAGTTAAAACTGTGCAGTTAAAATCGAATATTTAACTGACAATTCAAATTTTATCTACACAACTTTAGTTTAAACTGTACAGTTAAAACTGAGCGTGTGTTGTTTGTTATATTTCTCGTTGAATTAACAAAGACAATAATAATTTGACATTCAGTTGAAACTTTCCAGCTATGATAGTTTTTTACAATTTCGTCTTTATACACGTCTTTCATGGCATCAAAACTGATGTGTGCTTTTTGAATTTTACAGACATCAACTATAAATACGATAAAGGATACAAATAATTCTAATACATATATAAAGGTAAGATAAAAACTACAACAGCTCGTTATATATACGTCTGCACTGAGCTCGGAGTCTACATTAAGTTAGTGGTGACGTAGTTAGTAACCCATGTAATGTTCCTTTACAGAATTTTACGGACAATACTATTAAGGTAAAGGTTTTAATAAGAAAATTTGTATAAGATAAATACATATTACTATTTAAATCTTACTAATATTATAAATGCGAATGTTTGGATGGATAGATGGATGTTTGTTTGAAGGTATCTCCGGAACGGCTGAACAGATCTTTATGAAATTTGGCACATATGTAGAAAATAATTTGGAATAACACATAGGGTATTTTTTAATTTCGTACGGACGGAGTCGCGGGTAACAGCTAGTAATTATATATAATTTTAATATCAGGTATCTATATTAACAACAGAAAATCCTGAGGTATGTAACACAATTTGTAGTATAATTTTTTTTACTTAAATATTTAAATTCTAAAACAGATTCGGACTATTGCAAATCAAATAAACAACCGAATTCGATTAAAAAAAGCTCAGAAAAAAATAGAATTGTACGTAGTTATTATATTATTAGAGCGTCGGCGGCTCAGGGGGTAAGCACTTGATTTGCAATCTGCAGGTCCTGGGTTCGAATCCCGCCATGTACCAATATGTTTTTCGATTTCCGATTTACATATGTACATTTATGCGACGTTCTTACGGTGAAGGAAAACATCGTGATGCAACTTGCACATATCTGAGAATTGATATGTGCAAGTTGCATCACGATGATCAAAGATATGTGTGAAGTCAACCAACCCGCACTTGGACAGCGTGGTTGACTATGGCCTAACCCGTAACTTAGTGTTAACAGTGGGGACGTATACTGAGCTGATGATGATGATAATAATATTATTACTATATTGTATTTTTTTTTCTTTTTTACCAAGTTGGTGAACACAACAGAGTCTACTAATGTCCTACTCTCACGTAAAAATGGAACTATAACACGACAAGGAATAATAAGTGAAGTACAACATAATATATCAAAGTCTATACAATATCGTAGTCACCAAGATTCTAATGAAAATAAAAACTACATCGAACAAGACGAGAAGAAAGGATTACAAATCGAATTTGTTACACCCAATGTACATAGAAATATTTTAAAAAATATATTCGAAAAAATCCTATCTTACAAGAATATAAATTTAGAAAAAACATATAAAAATACGCATAATAATGAAAGAGAAAAAATCATAAAATCATATCTTCTATTGATTTCGCAAAAATATAAAAGAAAATGGATACCAAATAACATAGTAAGTAGTACTAATGTTACCGTAGGTTTCTGAGACCAAAATCTTTATATAAAACATTGTTATCTATAATTTGTCAAAGTTTTTTTTTTATATCATAATGTGGCAAACAAGCGAGCAGCCACCTGAAATTACTGAAATAGCGAAGTGACCGTTGCCCATAGACATACGCAATTGCGTACCTACCTTTAATCGACGGAGGAGAGGATGCACAGAAAGATAATATCTTCCCTTTCCATGCATCCTCTTATCCGGAAAGTCATCTTCCACTTCCCATCCTTTCCTTATAAGAAAAAGGGTGAGAAGGGAAAGAGGAAAAATTAGGCCAAAAAATTGCTTCCACTTGATGTCTGTCTTCTGTGTGGTCGTGGTATTTCACCGGGCTAGTCGGGCCAATACGTGCGAAGGTGTTAAAGCGAGCTTTACCACTGTTAGTAAGAAGGGAGACGATATGTTTTATCCGGGGATTTTGATCTCAAAAACCAAGGATACATCTATAAAGTTATAGTTTAATATTCAGCTAGGTACAAAATTATCAAGTTCATTCATTTATAAGTTTCTGACAATAAGCAATCTTTAGAACATATTCCAATTTTTACAGGGTGTGAAATTATTACCCGTAAAGGTATGTATACAATTAGGTACTTATTTTTAAAAACTTCATAATATTGTTCATAAAGATAACTGAAGAATCAATTGATTACAGAACGTGACTTCGAAAGGTGTAAGTAAAAATATATATCTAAGTAGTTGTACGCGACTTCGTCCGCGTGAAATTCTGTCATTCAGTAGCATTTTAATTTAAAAAACGAAATCCATACAAATTTCCACCCCCACCTTCAACCTCTTACAACCATCTTTTCGCGTTAGCCTACGTCTTTTCCCAGGCTCTATACTATGTGTACCAAATTTCATTTAAATAGGTTCAGTAGTTTTTGCTTGAAAAGACATACAGACAGTTACTTTCGCATTTATAATATTAGTAAGGATTTAAAGCGATTTAATAAATAAATACCAACTCTTAGTGATTTGATTATAGTACAAAAATATGTCTGAACATTCCTAAAATTACAATAAAAGAAATATTCCAAACTTCGATTACAGCGGTCAACAAACATAAGACAAAAACGATCTATCAAGGAAGATGCAGGATTCACTCATGACGCTGAAACTTGCAAACAATATAACAATAACCTTATCAATTTATGGTCAAATCTTTCTAAATACATTGATACTTCAGAGAAATCAGTACCAAATAAAATCGTATTACATAATATAGGAATAATGATTCAAGCATATTTAGACCATGTAACCCCAATTGAAATTAACAAAGAAACTGCAACAGAAAGAATAATACGTAAAGATATTTCAAGTATTCTATCTCCGATAGTAAACGAAATCAAAACTAAGCTAGACATAAATAAAAAAGAAATAAACTCTCTAATAACATTCATATTAGATCAAGTGAAAAATTTTAAAATCGATAATATAAATGACGAATGTAATAACGTAATACAAAATCAAATAGCAACATTAATAAATATTGCATACAAAAAATATTTACTATACGCAAATTGTAACAATGTTTATAGTAATGCAAATGTTAATATATTTAATAAACAACTAAACAATCAAGAGTTATATAATAAATTAAAAATTTTAACAGAAGCAAAAATTGATGAAGCAAATTTTAAACATAATTTGCTTAAAGTTATCAAAAGATCTATTCAGACTACAACTAATATAAAAGATACAATTAATCAATCAACGGTAAAAGATTTTTTAAACAATTCAATTTCTAATGCAACGAATGAAATCATAAATAAATCAAATGAAAAGCAAAAGGAAAACTCATTCAAAGACACAATAGTAGAAAGTCGAAGAGCTTTACAACTAAATGTAAATTATTGCGCAGATCTTGCTTTCGATCAATTCATACTTACTATAAAATTAATCGTAAGATTATATTTATTAAACGATGATTGTAAAAGCGGTAATAAATTTATGATTATATCAAAATTTATAGAAGCAACACCATTATTAGATACGTTAAATGATGACAATTTAAATTATTATTTACTTCTTAAATTATTAGATAATATGGAAACTGAAAATATTATTAATCTATTAACAACAAAAGAAGATGTATTACAAAACAAAAATATGTTAGAACAATTTTTACGTGATATTAATAAGATTGCTGTAACTGTATACAAACAAAGAGATAACAATAATATAGCTAATAACGATTTTAAACAAATAAATTCATTATATAATCAACAATCTTATAAAAAAATTAATAAATTAAATCCAAATAAATATGTTAACGCATATAATGAAATTATACATAGTAATGAAAATAACAAAAACAATAGAAACATAAAAGAATTCATGTACACAGGTGTACCAATTAATCAACATTTTGAAGCAAATCGAACAGTAATTTATGAAAAAACAAATATGTCATACAATAGTCAACCGATTACAATAGGTACTACTATAAATTCAGGAAGTAAATTTGAACTTAACATAAATAACCGAGTTGGTAAACATTTAAATAATAAATATCAAGGTACTTTAGATGGCAAAAATGAATTTATTCCCTTTAAAATATTTGATACAAATCAAAAAGATAATATTAATCCTATGGCATATAAATTATCAATGAATTATTCTGAAACATATCCAACTAATTTAAAAGGAAATTTGGCGTCATTAAGTTCAGTCGCATTTCCCAATTTAAATATATTAAACAATTCCACTAATATAAATCAATTCAAAAATACATTACTGTCCCAAAATGTAGCATCGAATCCTGTCCCTTTATCCAACTATTTCGCAAGGAACCCGGTAAATCAATTTAAAAATTCACCTCCAGTACCAAATAATAGTGCTTTAATGAATATTTTAACCAATAATAAGGCTATATTAAATAGTAACTTTAACACGAAATCGGAATTAACAATTAATGAAAGTAATATAAAAAATTATTTACGTAATCCTTTGGAACAACAAAAATCAAATATATTGCCAAATTTTGGAGTAAATTCCGGAGTAAATTATTACAATCAAATTAATAATGCTCTTAATAATAGGGACAATAATCTTATTAAAAATCACAATTTCAATTTACTCCGTGACAATATAATAAGAGACAAAAATTTCAACTCTTTTAATAGTTTACATTTCACGAATCCAAATTTGACATCTAACCTCGATTTGGATGATCGTAAAAATACGATGCAGGCAAATAATTTCATTGAAAAATTGGGTTTAAGAAATTCATATCCTTTACGTACTTTAAATATTCCACAAATACTAAAAACTCCAGCAATTTCGACAAATTTAAACCCAAATTCATCGAATAGCTTATTCGTTAATAGATCATTGAAAGTTAACTCTAATTACAATAGAATCCAACCCATTCAATCAATATCCGGAGTCCCGTTGAAAAATATCCAATCCATTGTAAAGCCTAAACAAGATCTATCTAAAAGTCTATTTATAAATCCTTATTCATATTCTGCAAAAATTATAAACAAAGAAAATGAATTTGAAAAATACCTTAACTTAGAAAACGCAGGCTTTTTGCGAAGTAATTTCCTAAGAGCACATAATCAAATATTAGAAACCAAACAACCGATAATATCAATTGATAATTTGCCAACAATTTCATCAGACCCAGACGCAAATGGTGATGTGGAATTAACTTACGTGTTCCATCATCCCCAAATCGTAGTTTATCAGCCACAAGTTTTAGTAAAACGTCGTATATCTTACATTGATTATATAAATAATTTTAATAAAATATTTAATAATCAAAAGAAACTTCAACAACAATTACATTTATATAAAATTATAAGATACTTACCACATAATAATATACAGGTTCTTTATCAATCTGATAGTATATTTCCTATACTAAAGATAGAAAATACCACATCTTCAAATTAACGCATCTGCGGTTCCTCTGGTATCGCTCATGTCCATGGGCGTCGTTGTCCTTTGGTGTTTCCGCTGCTCATTGCTAAAAAAAAAATTAAACTTCAAACTTATCCTTGCTTTACGTTTTGAAGAGTACTCTGTAATATTAAATCACTATTTTTGATAAAAAAAAGAAAATAATTCCGTTTAATGTTATTAACAAAAACATTGTATAATTGTATGTGTACATTTCTTAATAAATGTTTTTGAAAATATATTTACGTGTTTAATTTAAAATAAACTTAATAGAAAGTATTATAACACTTATAACAATATTTAATTAAGATTTTATATTAAGAAACGTAAAATAAAGAAACACTTACGACTATTTATCAGGTGGGTAGACAGAGATTTCTTAATTTCATATCTCGTGATCCCGATTTTGACATGGTGCTTACTTCCTTCCTGTTGTGGTATTGCGCGCTGTCCATATAATACAGATGACTAAAAACTTTTAAATTAAGTTATCTATTTATCTTAATATAAAAAAACATTCTAATTATATAATTAATACGTGGGCCATAATAATAAAAATTAATTCAATTTTAATGTTGATAAAAAATATTGGTAGCATAGAAAAGGCTGCGTTTTTCTGATATTACAACACTGCTCATTGCTTGTCAAATAATGTTTACCTATTTGATGACAATAACATTAAAAGAATTGAGGTTAAACTGTTTTCAAACATTACTTTCAAAGTTGTAAAGATAACAATTTAATATTAAATAAATAATAATGGTTTGTGAAAAGTGTGAGAAGAAATTAGGTAAAGTTATAACTCCGGATCCGTGGAAGACTGGCGCAAGAAACACCGTGGAATCTGGTGGAAGAAAAGTTGGAGAGAATAAAGCTCTTACTGCGAAAAAAGCCCGCTTCAATCCTTACACAGCCAAATTTGATGAATGCAAGTAGGTTCCTTTAAATCTCATCTATACTCAATTTGTTTATTAAAAGTATTTTGTTTATTTTTTGTAGTTTAAAACAATTTTAGAGTATTTTGTTTTTACACTAATCTGTTGTCTAATTTTTGTTTAGAGTTGCCCAAGAATCTTAATTTATTCTCTGCAGGATGATTGCTATACTATTAAACTTTCCCTGCTAAACCAAACTGTTACTAAATATGAATTTTCAGATTTGCAATAGACTTAACACATTAAATGTCACTTTGATTTTACAATAATTTACATTAATGTTGGACCTGGTTTTGCTTGGAAGTTAGCATTAGAGAAGTTAATGAAATATATTATATTTTCAGAATCTGCCGTATGAAAGTCCATCAAGTGGGTTCACATTATTGTCAAGCTTGTGCCTACAAGAAGGGAATATGTGCTATGTGCGGCAAGAAAATATTAAACACTAAAAACTATCGACAAAGTTCTACTTAGTAATACATAGTATAAGTAAATAATAAGATGTATTTTAATTGTTAAACTATAGGTTTCCTTTGCCAAAATACCTGTACTAAAATGTTAGCAGGATTTTTTTTTATTTATATGTGTTTTGGTACGGAAAACCCATGTTAAGTTGGTTAAATAATTAAACAATTAGTTTATACCTCAAACCAAGGTTGTCAAGTGTGACATATTGATGAAAGAGACATTTCATATTATCTGACACAGTGCACATAAGTCTAAATACGCTGGCGCAAAAAAGTACCTCAAGATATCAGACTATGGCTGTCTTATTGTCATAGCAACGTTTCTAGAGGGGGAATGCGTTACGCATTCCGGGTGCCTGGGGAAAGCCACTCCAGTTATGTGGGACTCTCTCCACATCCCTGAAGGGACATGAAACCTACCCACTAAACCCCCTCTGGTTCCCTCGACTCACTGTTTACCGGGGTGTGGGCACATGTTAATACTCTCCCCACACACCGGTCGGAAAAGATAGTCATCGTTTCTAGGCCTAGATAAGCTTGCCTCACTATTTGATGGTACATAAAATTATGTGTTAAATTACAGTACTTAAATTAACTTAATTAGTAGCCTATATGTTCGACCAGACTGTTTCTACATCTATGCCAAATTAAAGCAAGATCAGTGCAGCAGTTATGGAGATACAAACATCCATCTAAACATTCGAATTTATAACATTAGTAAGATTAATAACCTTAACTTTTAACAAATTATGTCACAGTGTTCTAATTTAATTTTGTAATATGAAATTGTAAAAAAATCAAATATTGTAAATAAAAAGAGTTGTGTATTTCATGTAAATAAACAAATTTTGTAATTTTCCTATTTTGTTTTATTTCAAACGAAAAACACTAGAACGTAGGTAAAAATTAATATAAAATGAGAAAGATCTGGAAAGTAGTAGATAAATATAAATATTCCTTTGGCTCATAGATTTCATTTGAGTACTTTTATTGTTAGTCTATTTGGTTTAAAGATTGGTTCTTGAAAGGTAAACTCAAGTACGTCCGATTTTTTTATGACTGAATCTTTACTGATTTTATTAGCAATCAAAGTAGCAACCATGTTAAAATCAACAAAGCTTGTAAAATACGAATTCATAATTGATAAGCCACAAATGAATTACGATTTACTTGTAAAGTGAAAAAATGATTTTATGGAATCATTGTTTGAGCATAAGTTTATTGATTGTGGTAAGCCATTCTGATTGAATCTAACAAAAGTATTGTATAAGAAATATTTTAGTCATCTTTGGTTGTATTTTTTTTTCTAATTTGCAAGACGGAGACCTCTTTTAAAATTATATTAGTCTATTTCAACAGTGGTAGAGCCCGCTTTAACATCTTCGCAAGAATTTGCCCGGCTCGCCCGGTGAAATACCACGACCATATAGAAGGCAGGCGTATAGTGGAAGCTATTCCGCCTTTCTTCTGATGAGTGTGCGTCCCGGATGCCTTAGTCCTCTTTCCCTTCCTACCCTTTTTCTCATAAGGAAAGGATGGGAAGTGGAAGTGGACTATCCGGATGAGACGATGCATGGAAAGGGAAAATATTTTCTTTCTGTGCATCTTCTCCTCCGTCGATTAAAAGTAGGCAACGCATATACGTATGTCTATGGGCAATAGACACTTCGCTTCAGTTATTTCAGGTGGCCGCTCGCTCGTTTGCCACCTTATGATAAAAAAATATATATATATCACCCCCTGTTGCATTTCTATTTGCAAAACAGACTTGTCAACCACTACATTCCCTACCATCTTAGACCCCGTACAGTTCTTTCGTGAACCTCAGGGGGTTCAATGATCAACCTGCACCACTTTTTAAAAAAATAATAAAAATTCGCTTATTTAGACAACAAAAGTATGGTTAAATTACAAAGAAGTGCGTCTGGTTCCTAAACTAGGTTCTAGACTAGTATTATAGGAGCCAGGGCTCTTTCGTCTTAGTACTATAGTTTAACAGATTAGTAACATAATAAAATTACTTGCCCTACTTAAGAATTAGAAAATTCGTAAATTAGTAATTTACAATTTAGCTTCGGTGGATCAGGAGTCAAGCACTTGACTTACAATTTGCAGGTCCTAGGTTCGAATCCCGCCATGTACCAATGTGTTTTTCTATTTCCGATTTATACGTGTACATTTATGCGAATTTCCTACGGTGGAGGAAAACATCGCGATGTTGCATATATCTAAGAATTCAAAGATATGTGTGAAGTCAACCCGCACTCAGCCAGCGTGGTTGACTATGGCCTAGTTTACTCTAACTTAGGGTAGGCTCCGAGCTCTTCGGTGGGGAAATAGTGAGCTGATGATGAAATTATGAAAATTTACAATTAAAGAATCATACTGTTCTGGACCTATCTTTATTTTAAGACATACTGTATAAGAGTTACAAATTTAAATAAAAATTTTAGATTACAGATTCAAAATCATCAAACGTAAGAAAAAATACAAAAGCTGACAATGATTTTACAGAAATATTACATTCTATTATCAAAATAAATGAAAAAAGAATCAATTCGCTTAAAACATTAATAGATTTAGACGATTACAATAAAGCGAGAGCACTTCGAAACAAATTAAACGATGGAATAAAGAAACATGAAATAATAGGTATTATAATTGGAGAAGTTGAAAATACATCAAAAGATTTATTAAAATATAATAAAAATATTAAAAGAAGACATAACAACGGTGGTAATAGACATGGTAAAAAAATGCAATCATTGGGTAATTATAAAGTTGAGACGATAGTAAAACCTATAAGTAAAGATTCTGGTACGAGTTCTTCTGAAATGGATTGTAATCCAAATCAAAATAATTGCAATGGCAATGGTCGTAGTAAATGTCAATCTGAATGTTCATCGTATTGTGTAGATTCATGTAATAATGCGTTTAAACATTTCTGTTTAACTTACGCATGTGACTATAGTATGAAAGCGCAAATGGAACACGAATGCTCGGACTACTGCTCGGGAAATTAATAGAATCATTAATAAACTTTATTTTCGTCTTTTATTTAAACTAACCTGGCTACAACATGCCGTGGTATATGTTCAGTTTGTTCTAACGAGATGTAACGTTGTGCAAACCTTTCTCTTCACGTTCATGTTTATCAAAGTACGCTTCGGTTTCTGTCTACTTTTGCTTTGTATTAAATAAATAAATATTGACAATAGTGTACATTATTATCGAGAAAATTAAAGTTCAAAGGATGGATGAGTAGTTTCAGTGACACGCTCAAACATTTGTGATAGACATAGCAGATTTCAATTTAAAGCATTCATGGTTTATTTATGAATGAAAAATCTTATCGTAATTTTTTTTTTAATTTAGACCAAAGTAATATTCAGTTAGAGCGTCTATGGCTCAGGAGTCAAGCACTTAACTTGTAATCTGCAGGTCCTAGGTTCGAATCCCGCCAAAGTGTTTTTGGATTTCCGATTTACAAATGTATATTTATCCGACATTGCTATGGTGAAGGAAAACGTCGTGATGCAACCTGCACATATGCCTTTCTACTACATATACATATGCACACTGAGTAGAAATTCAAAGATATGTGTGAAGTCAACCAACCCGTACTTGGCTAGCGTGGTTGACTATGGTCTAGTAACCCCTAAGTAAGGGTAGGCTCCGAGCCCCTCGGTGGGGACATATAGTGAGCAGATGATAATGAATATTCAGTTGGACACTTTATAAATCTAATCTCTGTCACATCCTTACCGTACGAGACGTGTAAGAGTACAGTTTGAATATCAGTTTTATTAAGACCGAAAGGTTCCAGATAAAAGGGAATTAGTACATATTGTGATGAGAACAAAGATAATCACCTGTAATTTTTTAACCCTATTATAGATAGGTACAGTATCAATTCCCTAAACAACCATACAAAAACATTGATATCGTTGCTTTTAAAGACTCTACTAGCTTGAGATTCCGTCCGCGCGGAATTAAAAAAAGGTTAATTAGTAGCCTATGTGTTCTTCCCGACTATGTTCTACATTTATCCCATATTACAGCGATATAAATGCAGCCGTTCCGGAGACAACATCGAACAAACATCCATCCAAACATTCGCATTTATTAGTAAGAAGTTGGTAAAGTAGAAGAAATTTGTACATGTGCTTGGGATGTGAAAACTCAACCTTACTTGTTCCTTATTTAAGGATCAGTTTTATATGACTGATTGGTTAATTTTAATTATTATTGGTAGGCAACCGTGACAACTAAAATCTCTTAAAATAATTGTAATATCTGTGTAATAAACTAACTTCATTTATGAAGCTTTTTATTTAATCATGTGATTGTTGTAGTTATTTTAACATGATTTATGCAAATACCTATTTAATTATTACATTATTCCTTTTAATCGTAAGTATAAAAAGCACTACATTACACGATTGCTATTTTTACATGCATTTTGTAAATACAGTCGAACCTCGATAAGCGAGATACCTCTATAAACGAATTATTGTTCAGTCCACACGGACGACCTCAGAAGCGTGAAACTCGGGTTAGAGAGAAACCTCTATAAGCGAGAAAATAACAGCCCCTTGAACTCTCGCTAATCCAGATTCGACTGTACTTGTACGTAGATTAAAAAATGAAACTATTTTCTATTACTTACCGAAGAAAGGAAAAGGATTAAACTGAATGACACTAACCTCTTTTCTAAACTAATATGTAGGTGACTGTTTTTTCTTATTCTACCCTCAAAATTAACGATGACGTAACCCACTGATATAAATAATTATAATTTTTTTCAGCTACTTAACGACACAAATATAACAAATGCTTATCCTTTATTACGTAAAGATAGGAAACACAACAATCTTTCTGAATTACTTAGAACTGTACTTAAGAAGCAAAAAAAGAAACTGCCAAATGAATTTCTAAAATTGTACGACATAAAAGATATTTTAAGAGTCCTTAATAATGATGGGAAAATTGCTGATTTTCTTGTATTATTTGATAAAGAAAATTTAAATAGGAAACATTTGAAAAAAGATATAGATAAAATGGAAGAATTAAACATATTTACTAGAAGAATTGATAGTAGTTCTGAATCTAGTGATTTTAGTGACGATAAAAGTGAATTCACCTTAAACCATAGTCATTCTAGCGACGATGACTTTGCAACGTATAAAAGACGCGGCAGATCTTGCAAGAGATCGGAACAAAAGTGTGTAAAAGCGTGCAAAGCGACGTATAGAAGCATTTGCAGATATTACTCTTGCGAGAGAAGATTGAGAGAAATGGCCAAAGATAATTGTAAATATTACTGTAGAGAAATTATGAAATTTTATTAAAAAAAACTGTTTTTTTTTTCATTATAAACCGGAATCGTGCGAACTCTCGGCAATCGCTTCTGAGTGAGACAAACTTATTGTATACCCATATGTTTGTCTCGCTCCCCGAATTATGTCTAAATGAATCTTAATATGGGAATACGTAATTTTAGGTATCGGAAGGAAGGGAAGGCACATGATCTTGAGCTCACAAGATATTTGAAAATACCTATACCATGTATTTTATTAAGCACGAGTCGTTCTCAAAACAGTTACTTTCCTGCCAAATATCTCAACTCAAACTAAGGCTCGTGACGCTGACGTTTGATAATTGAAATGGAACAAGCATTTCTCTTCCTTCCCGTTTTCTTTCCCTTCATATTCTTATTTACTTTAGGTAGGAAATTCTAGAACTTTCATTCCACAACTTCGCAGCAGTATACAACCGAACCTGGGTAGGCGAGAGGTTTATTTCTAACCCGAGTTTTTCTCTTATGGAGAGCGCCCGCCCGGACTCTGGCTCGTAGAGTTCTCGCTTATCCAGGTTTCACTGTTATGCTATAATATACACGAGACTAATTTTCATCGTCGTTGTAACAAATCCTCTTTTTTCCTGTGACACCTATCTTTTATTTTCATACGAGAACTTATTTCTATACGTGTAGTTTTATTTACAAAGCAAAATGTTATTGTTATGTTGCATCTACAATTAATTTATAAATTAAAACACCGTTCTATTTAATTATAACAAAGATTTTAATTATAAATTTTACTTTTTTATTACAAAGTTCATTATTTTTTTATTAGTTATGTTACCGGCCAGGCATAGGAGTGTATGTTCAATTTTATTTTTACTTATTTCGGTAAGAGTTGTTTATATTTCAATTTGATAATTGAATGCAAGTTTTAATTTTGTTTTTTTATTAGCAGGCAAAAACAACTGGTGATATTTTGAACTACAAGAAATTTACACGTGATTTGGAAAATATATTTGATAATGGAAATCCAATTGTTGCAGTGGCTGTTATTGAGGTAAAAATGTTTCGAATTGATAAATACAATAAACTCGGTATAAATCTCTCTAATATTATAAATGCGAATGCTTGAATGTTTCTTAATAGATTTCTTCAGAACCGGTGCATGGATCTCACTGATATTTGGCAAGGATGTTATACGTAGTCTACTAATTAAGTTTTTTTCTTACTTAAAATCAACAATTTGTTTTTCAGGACAAACGCATATTAAGAACTTACGTCCCTGGTAATATTCCAAGAATGAAAAGACCAAACAATCAAGATATACCCATAGAATTAGTTCAAGAAAATGATTCGACGTCAAAACAAAAAAATGCCTTACAAATGGCGTCTCAAAATTCCCCTGTAATAGATGAAAGTGATGAATTTGAAGGTATACAATTGACACAAAAACAAAAAAGTATGTTACGTAACAAATGGCGAAGTTCTTGTGACAAGAAGGCAGCGAAAACTTGCAGGAAAGCGTGCGACAGAGCGAGAAAACGCGCGTGCGAAGAGTACCATTGTAAGAAGAGTATCAGTAAAAGTTTTAAAAAACATTGCAAATCGAGTTGTAAGCATTTCTTCTTAGGAGATAAATCTAAGGAGATATCCGATTGATGGAATTTTATAACCGCTGAAGTACAAATAAATCATAGTAAAAATGATGTTAGAATGTTACTTTTCAATTATTTAACAACTTTATTTAATTTATCTGCCTTCTTAAATACTGTAGTAAGTACTTTTATGAGTACATCATAAATTAAGTATAGTAGATTTCAAATATGTTGTTGGCTCGGAACATTATTGTAGCGACGTACACTAAAATTGATGTCAATTATTTAACTTTTCTGCCTTCTAAAATAATATAGGCTTAAAGAAAACCATTTTTATTTCTTTGAAGGACTTCTGTTGACGTAGGCAAAGGCTCAATTCGGGTCGCCGTGTCGCCCTAGTTAGTAATTTAATTGAAGGGATGGAATAAAAACAATAAACAACATTATAACTTGTCTTTATTATACATTAATAAAATACATTTTGTATAACTGATAACTTGTTAATTCAATTGAACATGATCGTAACTCCATTAATACGAAAAAAAAACTCAATGTCAACAAATAACTACACTTATAGTACTCGGGTTGATCCATGTTTCGTTTAATCAATGTATTCATTTTTGTATCGATTATTACTATAAGAATCCGAAACAGCAATTTCTAATATCGATTTCATATGCGAAAATCGATTCTGATTTGAAAGTAATGATTTAAATAAATATTTGTACACAAACTGATTAATATTACAGATAAAGAATTATTTTCATCGCTTTAAATGTAGATATCGATTTTTTACAACATGGATCATCCCTATAATATAAAGAGACCCAAAATGGGCGGGAATGGATATTAATCTGTTTCCGCAATCATGGACTTAATGTTGCCATAATTGCAACTAATTTGGAAGACTATAAATACTTATTTTAAATGCCTACAAACAGTGAAGTCACTAAAATATATTTTGTGTGTTTATTTTTTTAATTAATATCCTACACTAATCCGTAATACTTTCAGGACGGAATGTTGAAAAAATCATATACATTGGTATTTTTTTTGTTAATAAAGATTTATAACAAAACTTGTTATCTCTCTCTCTCTCTCTCTTGTTATTTAAATTGTGACATTTTAATTATATTAAATAACTAATTAAATACTATATACTTTTTGTTTCCGCAATCGAAATACTAAAAAGATTTTCCTTCTTTTTTATTAATTTGATTGGAATGAAATGTCAAAATATTTTAATATAATAAGGCACATTTTCAATATTTAAGTACTTTTATAAGTACATCATAAGTTTAGGATAATACTTTTCAAATATGTTGTCAGCTCGGAGGATCACACGAGTGAATGTGCAAAACATAATGTTGTAGCGACGTACAGGCACACGAGGTGAGGGATATTACCTAGAGCCGACAAGATATGTGAAAACAATTATACTAGATATATTTTTAAATAAATTCTCAAAAGCCTAAAGCTAGTCGTGTTTTTAAATATAATGCCAATATATTGTACAAATCTAACAAACATGTATACGTATAAATAATATTATTGGAAGAAACAAAAAACACATTTCCACTGTCAAAATACTTGTATACAAACATCTTGCCAACCTCTTTGTTCTTGAACAAGCAATATGTTTTGTTAGTTGAAATTCACATTCAGACAAAATTATGCTTAACAATGGAAAGAGAAACATTTATATTAACTTTTACGTGGGTAAAATGTTACCAGCTTTAAAAAAAAAGTGAAAATTCCATCTTTGAAATGTTATTTGAAATTTTATTAAAATAGTAAAAATAAGAAAATATAAAGATATATTGATAATATACACAAATAGAATAAGAAAATAGTAAAGTGTCTAAAGATTATGATAAGATGGAAGACTATTTTAATGTTTATTTAAGAATATTTTGAATTATATGTATGGAATTCTGCTTTAATATAGAAATTACATAAAAAATACATTGAAAATCTGGAAAAATCTCCTAAGAATGATTTAATGTATCTTTTTTACAGTGTTTCGTTTAATTTTTCCGTCCTATTGATAGTAAGATCTTTTCTCTTTCCAGCGACTCTTTTTTTTTTAACAAATATTGATTTTTTTATCACTAAAAAACTCGAAACAGATTAAATTTCTCCTTAAATAGATGATAAAGGTTGTTAATATGTAATTTGTTTCTTTCAATAATATTTGTGCTTTAAAACATTTAAATTCTTACAGCAAACCCCCACTAGGACTTTTAGAACTAGATTTTATAATAGACGTTACGGAAATATTACCCGAACTGCCGCTTAAACTGGGCGGCGGTGAACGAGGTAGTGAAAAGTTTCTCTCTGACAAATTCTCTTGACTGAGGGATTTAACCGTACCAAAAACCGGTATTTTCGAGGATACCTGAGAAACTGATTTCGATTTCTCCGCCATCTTAACCGGTATGTTACTCGGTTTCGCAGAAATTGCCGGTTTTTGACTTACAACCGGTTGATCGGTTGACCTCAATGTCATCTGATCGAGTTGGGACAGTCTACGATTTTCTAGATCTGTACTTGTTACTATCGTGCCTTTAGGAGATTCGTATGTTGCTGTACGGAATTTGATATGACTATTTCTAGGTAGATCGAAATCTGAATGCCTTTTCTTTGGTTCGGTTTTCGTTCGTTTTTTGATTTCGTTCAGTTGTTTCGCTGTGTGATGTCTTTCGTTTAAGATAAAATCGTTGAGCAGTTCGATATCTAGTTCATAAGATAACAAGGGCTCTTGATAAACTGGTGCTCTCTGTCTGCTTGCAATTTTATCTTTCACAGATTCATCTTTCTTTTGATTCTTTTCTGTCTGCGGTGTTACTACTTGTATTTCTGTAATATGGTCTTTGACTTCTGATTTGGATTCGTGCTGTGTTATTGGCATTATCGTTGGATTTATGGAGTATCTAGTTTTAGTTGCTTCAACTGAATCTTTTGTGATAGTTTGTTCGTCTTCCAAATCTTGAATTATTCTTATACCGAGACGAGATAATTCTTCTGGAGTTTTCTGTGCCATAAAACTAGGATCGTTTTGTAGTTTTTCCATTAATGCTTTTGCTTGTTCCTCGTCCATTTCTGTTGTGTTTAATATAATTGTCTCAGTTTTCGTGTACGAAGGTTCATCAGACGTGAAGTGCATGTTTGGATTTTGTCTTTTAATTTCATCCAATATTTTCTTGTCGAAATCTTTGATTTCACCTTCTTCTAAGTTAAGTTGATCTACGTCGCCTGGATTTTTCATTATTCCAAAACTAATTTGTTCAAGTTGTAATGGTGCTTCTGTTCTCGTAGTTAAATACTGCGTTGAGTATTTTTCAACATTCTGTGTTATTACTTTATTACCGAATTCATCTTCGGTTACGTTTACTGTGACAGTTTTTTGTACTGGCTCTTGCGACATAGTTAGAGAAACATTCCCAGGTTCCATGTATAAAGTTCTATTTTCTCTTTGGTCATTCCTTATTTTAGTACCTTCAATTACATCGGGTACTATTCTCATCACAGGTTCACCTATCTCTATGGACTTGGTGTAAGATTTTCTGTTTTCGACTGAGGGTATGCTTTTATCGTTTGTTGATATTGTAACTACATTGCTGTGTGCGTCTTTACTTCCCGACCATTCAGTGTTAAAATTATCTTGTGATTTCTTAGTCATTTTCAAGCTGTTATTGTTTGATCCCACTCTTATGTTGCTGACAAACTCATCATAATCACGACCTTTGGGTTCGGATGTTTTTAAATCAAAGTTGACAATGTCTGGTTGATGCATTGCAGATTTGTACGAATCTGTCATGGGTGGTATATCTTTGCTGGTAGTCGCTTCGTTTTTTTGAGTTTGATCGATATGAACGTTGAAAATGGGATTTTTAGCCAACAATTTCTTCATCATGTCAGATTTAGGTCTCTCTAAACTATTGACGTAAGAGTTTCGTGACATTTTTAAATCATCTGGAATGTTAGTGTCAAAATTCATATTCATTTTCTCCTCGTATTCCAAAGGCGGGGATCTACTCTCAGGATCTGTATATGCTTCTTTATTTTCTATGGAACTCGTGTTGCTGCCATCTGATGTGGTTTTAGCGAATTCTGAGACTAATTTGAAATGTACCTTCATATTTTCATCCATTATTCTTCTTGCTAAATGATCTGAGGTTTCGTGACTTTCTCCTTGATGCAATACATCGACTTCTTTAGCCTGCGCCTTTTTTACGTGAGTTTCTTTCTCTTGTTGGTCGGAATCAATGGAACTACTCGATCCTTTGACTATAGCATCTTCTAAATTGCCAAACTCTGAAGCCTTTTTTAGACGATTCCTTTGGAATGTATTAAGCCCTTCAATAGCAGATGTTTTTGCTATATTTAAACTCAATCTGGGTTCTTTTTGTTTTAAAACTATGCCTTTTTCTGGATCAATTGTTTCTGAAGATACATCCTCTGTACCAGAATCAAAGAATGTCGTTTCCACAACTGACATTGCTTTACGTTTTTTGGGTGACAGAGTACTTTCTTGAATTTCGGCGTCCTCTGCAGATATGTCTAAGCTTTGAGCCCGTTCTAAAGTACCAGTGGAAGGTTTGTTTGTTTTAATTCTGAGTTCAAATCTGGACAAATCTCCTAAAGACGCAGCTTTCCTTTCATTCTCATCTAACAAAGAGGTATCATCAGACGCAGAGTTAACCGTATCATTTAGAGGTGAACTATGTATAGTAATATCACTATTGTTAAGTTCAATTGTAGTTGAACCCTTCTCACTCTTGTCGCTGTTATTCAAAGATACAACAGAATGAACATCTTGGTTCGAAGACAAATTAGATTTGGAATCTTCGAAGAAATTATTTAAAGAATCGCTTTCCCTTTTGAATGGTTTAGAAACTATATCATCGATGTCATCTTGTGTAAAATTAATAGAGTCATCAATACGAGATGATTTTGTTTTACTAACTTTTGGAGTTGAGGTATTGTAGGAAATGGACATAGACGAAGTAGATTTGTTTGATATAGATGTGTCATATAAAAGACTGGAATGTTGTTTTTCGTTGCTCAAAAAATCGTTAACATTCTTTAATTGTTCTAGAATACTATCGTCTGTTTTGTTTTTATCAGTATCTGGAGGTGATGGCGCTTTTCCTTTGGATTTCTTTGTAGGTTTGGGTGCTTCTTCTTTCTTTGTATCAACTTTTTCTTGAACTAAGTCTGCCGAACTCCTTCTATTGCTTCTGGCAGCTTTAGCAGCCTCGAACATATGAGCTGGTAACTCTTGCGGGATTCCATTCTCATCTCTTTTGATTCCACTAGAATTAAGATCGCTTCTAGCAAAAGATGAGGCGTCAGATGCTGCAACACTGCTGTTTATTGATGTTTCTGATTCATTTGACTTTACACGTGCATTGGGTATTGGTGGTGCCATCTTTTCTCGTCTTTTAGCGACTACTGGTTTCTTAACTTCAGTTTCTGTTTCGTGTTTTATATGTGTGGTTGGTGCTGGACGTTGGGGTTCAGGTTTATCTGGTTCATCGATTGTTTTCTTTTCTAATACAACATTTCCATTTTCTGGACTCTTCTGTTTCAGAACTCCGTCATCTGGAACGTTAGGTGGAAGAACTCTTATGCCGAATTTCATACCTCTTTTAGGATCATAATCCCTTTTTTGTACTTCAGCCTGTTCTATTTGTGTGATACCATTCTCGGGTTGTATTATTTGAATGTCACTTCCAGAGGAGTGTCTGTTTTTGCTCCTTTCGGGTTTACTTAACCCAGGTGGTACGTCTGAATGTCTTGATTTGCCGGCCATTTTCAAATTCTTTTCATTTTCTCTCTCTAACGTCGAAGGTGCGCCATCTTTCTTCTCTTTCTTATTTCTTTCGAGTGTAGTTGTTGTTATGATCTTTTCAGCAAGTATTTTCTTGATTCCTCCCTTACCTTGTTTCGTTTCTAATGTAGAGTTGTTGGAATGAGATGTGTTTGGTGACCTGGGCGGGTGTAACAGCTTCCCTTCATTTTCGAGCTGGAAAATCAAATAAATATTATTAATATAGGTTTTAAAATCCAATATTACGTTAGTTAATGTTATATTAAAGCGTTATAGCTAGCTTATCTGTCTTCTTACTTCGCACTTCCCCACAACAATATCTGCTATGCGTACATTTGGATTTTTGCATGGCTAATTTAACAAGTTAGATAATTTTCGCTAAGGACCGCTGTATGCCATTTTTCTTTTGACTATAGATAATCTTCATCTTCAAACAATGCTGTATTTTGATATCTCGATATCGTAGAACAAAAACATCGGACGTTTACAACATTATGATACTAGCAAGAATAACAATAGAACCATAACCGACTCGCATTCCGTCGCGTAGGCGACATTGTATCCATAAACACGTGTCAACGTATCTGTAAGACAATAATGTTGATCGATAAACTTCCATATTATGAAAGCAGTAACGCTCGATATGGCGTCCCATTGTTTTGGCTTAGACATCCTTTTCTGACCATTTTTATATGATCTCTTATGTCTAATGTATTTTAAACTAAACAATGCTGACAAAAGGGTCAAGAAATATTTGATGTTAAATGGTGAATGAGTAATTGGCGTGCAATATTACGTCACAATACTTTGAAACTAGGGATGTAAGAGACAAAAAGTATCGATATTTCCTTTTTTCAAATCTAGTGTCGATAAAAACGACAACACTAGTTATAACACTATTGCATTACAATGCTGTCCTTTGGTTCGGCCTGATAAAATATTCATGAATAAAATTGCGAGACAATATCTCAGCGCAAACGCACAATCTCTTTGCAGAAAGAATTTTTATGCAATACTGTCACCCGCGACTCCGACCGCGCGAAGTTAAAAAAAACTTGATGAGTAGCCAATTTGTTCTTCCAGAAAATGTTCTACATGTATGCTGTAATTTCATTGAGATTCGTTCTGAAATTCTGTAGATATCTTCAAACTAACATCCATCTATCTGTCTATCCATCTAAACATTAGCATTTATAAATTAAGTAAGTTTTTGACAACAATTCTGATGAATTAAAAAAAATACAGACGTAATAATAACCTCCTTCTTTATGAAGTTGACTAAAAACACTGCTTTTTTTTGAAGAAGGGACATATTCTATTGAAAAATCATTCCGAGAAATCTGAAATTCTTGTCTTTATTCTATTTTACTATGCTATGCTATAAAACATATTTAATAATTAGGCATATAATGGGTATAAGCGTATAATTTAAAGAAACCAATTCAAAAAGCCGACATTCCTAGAACATTACCGTATTAATATGATCACGTCCGCAGCGTAGGTGTTATAATCATAGTAAACGTGAGTGAAGGTTCAATTGTTATACCGCTAGTGACCACGACTGTACTTTAAAGTAAGTTTCCACTGTTTTAAAACATTCTAAAAAGCATATTGTGTTTCTTAACTCACGATTAACAATGTAGAACAATTCAAACTTTTATATTCGTATTTATTTATTAAAATTATACAGGATTTATGTATTTTTATGACTTACTTGTACTTTCCGAATGGCTAGAAATCTAAAATTTTGTACTATAAATAACGGACTACTTGACTAGAATACTACTTAACTGAAGACTAAAAAACTACTTTCTTAATTTTGAAATTTTTAAAACTACATTTTCTATACTAACTTCTAATATCTATTTAATTTAATTACTATTCTTGTAATACAAAGAGAAAAATTCTGATAGTTTGCATTGAATAGACTCCGAAACTACTGAAGCTATTTGAAACATTCTTTCACTGTTGAGAAGCTACACTATCACCGAATAACATAATCTATAATAATTACTAGATTTTTTTTTAAATTCCGTGCGGATGATGTCGCGGGCAATTGCTAGTATACATTAGGATTATACGTTTACCCTTAGCTTAAGATAATCCAATTTAGATTATCAAGATTTACATGTAAACAAGTTCACATTTGACACTGACATACTTTAGCCGTATTTAAGCCAAAATTATTAGAATACTAGTGCGTCGGTGGCTCAGGAGTCTTGACTTGCAATCTGCAGGTCCTGGGTTGGAATCCCGCCATGTACCAATGTGTTTTTCGATTTCCGATTTACATATATTTATCTTACGTTCTTACGGTGAAGGAAAACATCGTGATGCAACTTGCACATATCTTAGGTCAGCATCAACTACGACCTAATCACTGACTTAGGGTAGCCTTAGAGTTCCTCAGTGGGGATCCAAAACCTAACACGAAAAGAAGTTGGGCCGTACATAAATTCCTTTTTAATCTTACCATAGAAGCATCTCCAGTGGATCCAGATCTCTTCAGCAAGGGATGTCTAACCGGCCATCCGCCACCACTGGCAGGACCACCTTCAACCACTTCAAGTTCCACGGGATAAGGTGAAGCCAATGAGAGGATAGCCACAGCATCCTCCAGAGGTGTACCCGTTAACTCTATTTTTATACTCTTGATTTTATCACCTGGAATATTAGATAAATACATTTAACACATAATAGATGGCTACAAAGGTAGAGAAAGTCTTAATAAAGTATGTAGGGATTGGGTGAAAGATGTACGTCTGGTAGACACGTATGGAAGAGTATGTCGATCCTTCATTGGAAAATTAGGGTAATATGCTGGTCTCTTGGGTTCTCTCGAAAACGAACTGAAAGAGAGTTTATGCTCACCTTAGGTTAAGACAAACGAAGTAAAATATGACAGGACTTTATAGAAAACTATATTTATGACTTTATTTCGCAGTATATGCTACTTACCAGCTTGTAAGTTGGCAGCGGCAGCTGGTCCACTTCTTAAAACAGAATGTATATGAACTCCTTCCCTCGCACCTCCACCACACTGCAGACCTAGACCAGTGAAGTCTCGCGCCCATAGTTTCACCCGACGGACTCGACCACGCTGGAAACAAAATTAATTATTAAACAAGATGAAATTCTACACTTTACCCTTCAGACGCTAAAGGATTCAATGTAGATTTGGTTCCGTATGTTAAGCGATCTCTTTTACTTTTTCCTTCTTTGATTTTATTCAAGCGACAGACTTTTAGAAGAAGGCCCAGGACAGGCGACTTTGGCTCTGTGACACAAGAGTGTCGGATCGGTGATCGTGGTCGAAGCCCACTTTTGGTGCCTGCGCCAGCTGAGAAATTAAGTAAGATTTTTCATGATAAGAGACCACTATTTGATTGCTTTATGATTTCCTTAGCGACCAATAAACAACTATGAATGCCGATTACTTCAATGAGATTTAGCAAGACCATAAAAATATAGGACACGGGCAATTAGTAATTGATTACAATTAGTAAACTCAGTAATCAATCAAATACGAATACTATTAATTCTAAGATAAAACCTTCGTTATTTGACATTGGTTTTAATTCACAAAAGACAAGGTAAGACAATTTTTATTGCATTGAATGACAAAACTGCGTTTATTCAATATAAAACGAGAATAAGGAAACAAGGAAGTCCATACTTCCGACTATTTTTTATATAATTCAGTAAAACCCAATCCATAATTTGTGAGGTTTGATCTTGCTATAGTTTTTAGCAAGATCAAACCCCTTAGGGTAGGCTCCGAGCCCCTCGGTGGGGACGTATAGTGAACTGATGATGATAGGTTCTAGATTATATTTTACAAGTATTGTAAATATGACAAAAAATGTAGGAAGTAAGTTACATTTTTCAAATTGTTACGAAAGATTTCTAGTTATTTTAGAGAGTAACTTAAGTTACTTAAAGCTTAATGAAACTGGACCATTCAGAAGAGTTACAACTGATGTTATAACGTTGTTCAATTTAAAATTATATTATTACTTTTATATGATGTCATAACTTAACTATTTATTTAACTTAATGACGTCATTCACTAATGTATCCGTGTGAGTTTCATCGGAATTTTGATGATTAAAAACTTATGCGGGTATCTTTTATTTTTATGTAAAACCCAAGTTATAAGACATCTAAAATCCATAGTTGAAAACATGTTGATACATTCCAAAGTCCTAATTTTAGTAGTCTTTTCCTTGCAACCCTTTTGTTTTTAGGATTTATTAAAACACATGTTGACCTAAACACATGTTTGTTAACGCCATATTCTATTTCTTACGGTGAAGGAAAACATCGTGATGCTGCACATATCTGAGAAGAAATTCAAAGATATGTGTGAAATCAACCAGCACTGGGTCAGCGGGGTGGACTATGGTCTAGTCACTTCTAACTTATGGTAGGATGCGAGTCCCTCAGTGGGACGTATAGTGATCTGATGATGATTATATTCTACTTATTACCTATATTTTAAAGAATAAATTAAATACAGATATCGGTCAAGTTGTTTATGGTACAGATGGTCACGATAAAACGGCTAAACATACATCGCTACTTACACGAAAATCTATCCTCTCGGTCAGTCAGCCATATAATAAGTACCATACACTAAGTAACACGCATAATACTTAATTTAAGGCACTTATTGATCCTTAATGACAACAAATATTAACATAAAAGATAATATAGTTTGTCCCAAATTAATATTGTCATTTAAATCGTTTACGGAAAATCCAGAAATCTCGTTGTTTCTATGCGGCGTTATCTTGTTTGTTGAGGCGTCACCTTAACATTGAGATGATGTCAGATTCAATATTATGTTCTTATCGCTAAGTAATATTACTACCCGTACTTCGCTTCATCTCTTAATCTTTATCCTTTATCTTATACTAGCTGTCGCTCACGACTCCGTCCGCGAGAAATTAAAATAAAAACTTAATTAGAATCCTGTGTTCTTCCAGACTATGTTCTACATCTATGCCAAATTTTAGCGAGATCTATACAGCCGGTGCTTTTAACTAACATACATCCATCTAAACATTCGCATTTATAATATTAGCAAGAATGTTTATCTGGCGACAAATTTTCAGTGTCTTACATTTTTCAGTTAGATTTCTTTCAAAAATGCATAACTAATCAAAAGGTTAGTATTTAAAACTTGTGTTAATTTTTTTTTACTTTCAAAACTTGTAACTCTAGTGACAGCCTAAAGGTATAATATTCAAATTAATATAATATTATATATCATTGCCGTATTTAATTCTAAGACATACACACACTCTAGCCTCACGCACACCTTGTACACTTAAGTACAAAATAAATAACACGTCATAAGTCTTCAAGGCAACTTTTTTAATAACCGTAAAATTACACACAAACACTAGACTACCCATGTACTATATTTTTTTTTAGGAGTATGAGCGAGATATGTTTTAAAATGCATCGACTGTAGATGATCATTGTGTTAACACACTATGCTTTGCTTGTTAATATAGAAATAAGAATTTATTTATATTTAATTGTTCGCATGAAAATGTCAGCGAAGAATCTGCAGTTCCTTTGGTATATCCATGGGTATCCTTGATCACCAGTGTTCCCGATTATTAGGTCTCTTCTGTTATAAAAAAAATTGTGTGTACCTAACAATTTTTGCATCGACTGTACCTAATTTGCTGCGCTTCGTGGATGGAATGCAGATCGGAGCATGATTGCGTCATTATCTACGGGTACCGGGTAGCGGGTAAAGGGGGGAAAGTATGCAGTAATGATTATCTCGTAGGGGATTCGAAGCTCGTGCCTACCTGACTAGAACCAGTATAAAAATACTTGGTCTAGTCGAATATTTGTTGAGTATATTTGGTGCCGAAGGCCTAATTTTAGTCCCCTTTGCTTACCCCCCTTGCTTATGAGGTAAAGATGACAAGGGGTTGGAAATATGACGGAGATGACGAAAAGAAAAGGTAAATTATTTTTTTGTCCGTCCCCCCTCCTCTGTCGATTAATGGCATGCAACGCATCTACAATTGCAGATATCTTTGGCCAGCAGTCGTTTTGCTATTTCGGCGAATTCGAGTGTTCGCTTGCTCGTTAGCCAGTTACTCGACACTTTTGCACTAACATTACTAAACCAAATAGCAGTAATACTAAACAGAGCTTTATAATGAGGGTAATATTAATAATTCCCATAGTAATAAAAGCCCTCGTCAGGGATGTATGGTAACGAAAATTAAATTTACGCCTGTTTTACATTATACCATTCCAGTAGGAAAGTAGTGGTGGCCTGGTATAGACTATTTTGGCTCAGTATTAGTGTTTACAATAAATCAGTGATTTTGAGCGCTACTGTCTTACCGTACTGGCATAATGTAAACTGAGTGAAATCTATTAACCGGGCATTCACCGAAAAAAGTAAAGGCAGTGTAAAACATCTGAATGTGAAATGAAAAAAACTATTAAATAATGTTTCCGGTTACATAATACATCACATGCCAACTCTCACAATTCCAACGGAATGCTGAAACATCTCACTAACACGATGCACGACAGATCTTGCGTAATACTTGACTTCCTATTAAGGAAAACATCGGAAGATCAGTGTTTAAAAGTACGGTGTATCGTTAACTGTCAACGCCCTAACAAAATGTTGATCGTGAGTTTCCATAGACTAAACACCAGTACATAACATATTGTCTATTTCTCGAGCGAAAGTTAACGATAGTAATATATTTTAATACAGGGTGTAGTAGCAATGGTAACTTACATTAAAGTTATTAAAACCAACAGTGTTAGAGCCCGCAATAACATCTTTTGGACGAATGTCCTGGTCATCCGGTGCAATACCACGGCCACACAGAAGACAGGCGTGAAGCGAAAGTCCGGAGGCCTCATGTTATTCCTCCTCCTATTCCATCCTCTTCTAACAAGGAGGGGATGAGAAGGGGGATTTTAACAGTGGTAGAGTCCGCATCCAGCATTTGCTGGTTGCACGAATGGCCCGCTCGCCCGGTGAAATACCACGACCGCACGAAGACAGGCGTGAAGTGGAAGAAATTCCGCGTTTCGTCCTGATG